CTTCAACTCCCAGTGGTTGAATTTCCAACCAGGTGAATAATTATCTCGCAAATCGGTATCCGCTCTTATCATTAAGTTAGAATTACGATTTTGAATAACGCTATTGTCATTTTCATCATCATTGTCTAACACAATGTCTCCTTTTAATCGGTTACATACATCTAAGCAAGTTCTAATCAAATTATCTCTGACTTCATTTGCTGTACTAACACCCACACCACATGGTACTATAATTACCTAAATTTAAATGTAATATGTTTAGCAAAATGGCAATCAACAACTAATTTAAAATTCATTATAAACACGCTTGAGAACGGTATATTTACTTGAATAGATGCAATKCGTGGAGGTAAAACAAGCCCACGGTCATCACCATGAACCATTACCATAACACCAATAGTTCTAGTTGTCATACCAAACGAAATCTGATGAACAAATGATTTCTCATGCGTGTCTGGATGTTCAAAATGAACATCAAACATTTTAGCAAAATTGGTACCCAGATAATGTGAAGTGGCACCTTGAATTGCTCGACCACTGGATGCTACATATGCTTCACAAGTAGTAGTGAATTCTCCTCCAGCAAATTTTTCTTTTTCAGTTTTTTTACCTTTAATTACAGGTACTGCCATCATATTCTTGTAAACATACTCATAATAACCTAAACACATCACAAASAAACAAATAAATAACAATAATATTAATTACAATACTTTTTTTAACTAACCTAATATTATTAATACATCACGTTCTGCTTCTTCTCTAGTTGCATATGCATTATGACCTTCTTGCCACAAAAACTCTCTGGTTCTCAAGAAAGGTTGAGGGTGTTTGAATTCCCACCTCTAAAATAAATAAATWAGATGTTAAAATAAAATTCTTACAAAAGTTCAATAATTAAATTTTGTCGAATAATGTACCACAACGCTGTTCCATTGATTGAGCTTCAACGGCAAATCTCTGTAAGACTGAATCCATTTCGCAAAAGCCGGGTACATCCCAGTTTCACTAGTTGGCCTTATAGCAATAGGTTCAGCTAAATCCGTTTCACCAGATTTGGTAACCCAAGCTACCTATTAAGACATTCATTTCATTATATCAGTAAACATTCATCTTATTTCATGTTCTATGTTACTGAAATTTTACCTCTGGTGCAAAATCTGCAATATGTTCTTTCTCTCTTTCTAATGCTCCTTGTGATACAAACATTGGGAAATAACAATTCCGCACATTAAGAGGCTTTCTTTTAATCCGTGCATCAAACCACTCTTGTATTAATTCCCATATTCTGTAAGCCCAAGGCCTGAGCACATAACATCCACTAACATCATAATATTCAATCATTTCGCCTTTAACCAACACTTGAGAATACCATTCTCCAAGATTTTCCGATACCTTTGGTACTTCCAACCCTAATTTTGTTACTTTTTTGGTGTTGGTGCTATCAGACTTTATAGATGTGGTCACAGCAATATTATCTTTCTTCTTCGATTTTTTATCCTAAAATATTTCATTATTCATGTTCAAATAATATATTCTAGATTGTAATTATTTTAGATTGTAAGGATTAAAATATATCATAGTAAGCTAGTTAAATTAATTTTTTTTAATTTTTATTTATTTATGATATTTTGAGATTTGTATTATCTATTCATCATAAGAGTCTGAATTATTTTAAGAAATATAAATACTTTTTAAGCAATATATTTTATTCTTCATATAAAATTAAGCAAT